AGGCTGCACTTGACTGCATGTCTTCCTGGTTTCCAGGTGGGCTCTCTGGCCACTGTGGCAGGCTGCCTCTCTTGCCCTCCCTCTTTAGGGAGCTCACAGGTACAGTAACCATGTTTCCTAATGTAAACACACACACACACACAGAGTCTGGCAAAGAATCCTTTTTCTTACTTGTTCATTGGACAGTTGCCATCCCCAGGGGTATTAGAGTGCTGGTTAAACATCACACTCTCCAAAACCAACACACTTTAACGTTTAATCTGCTTCGTTGACATTTTCTCCATCACTTTCTTAAATAGAGACAATCAACAAAGTGATCGATCAAGCCCTGATGTGTAGCGTTTAATAACTTGCTGAGGTAGAAATGCTCACACGGAAAGTGAACAATCAACCCAGTGGGAGTGGGCTCCAGCACAGCCCAGTACAGCCGGGGAAACTTACTGTGGAAGGGCGGATCTAAAGAAAAGAGGTCAGCTGTGCTGTCAACATACCTTCCGTTTACCCTGGTTAGATCTTGCAAGTCCAGAGTTATTTACATGCTGTCTCCTCCATTAGACTGTGAGCTCCTTGAGGGAAGGGACTGTTTTTACCTTTCTTTGCATCCTCAGCATTTAGCACAGTGCCTGGCACATAGTAGGTGTTTAATGAAAACTTGTTGATTGACTGACTGACCTGGGTTTGAATTCTAGTCCTGTTGTTTGCTACCTACACAACCTTGGGCAAGCCGCTTCCTTTCTCCACTTTTGTAAAAGAAAAGAAAGAAGGAAGGGCAGAAGGAAGAAAGGGAGAGTGGGAGGAAACAAGCGTTTATTAAGTACTTAACTGCGGGCCAGGCACTGTCCTATACCATGAAACATAAAAACATAACATAAACATAAGTGTTTTACAAAGATCATCTCATTTGATTATCTTGACAGCCCTAGGAAGTAGGTGCTATTATCTCCATTTTATACTAGAGGAAACTGAGGCAGACAGAGGTTACATGATCTGCCCACAGTCACACAGCAAGAAAGTATCTGGGGCCAGATTTGTATTCAGATCTAACTCTAGACCCAGGACTCTAGCCACTTAGCTGCCTCAAAGGTTCTTAATCTATTGTCCACAGAGTAGATTTCAGAGGGCTGATGAAGTCGGATAGGAAAAGAAATAAACAACACATTTTCTTTATAAACAATCCTTTCTATTTTATTTGATGCATTTAAAAACATAATTCTGAGAAGGGGTCCATAGGCTTCCCCAGATTGTGTCCAATGGGTCCATGGCACATACAGAAAGGATAAAAACTTCTGAACTAAATGATATCTCGGATCCATTCAGGCTTTAAATCTTGTGATCTTATAAAAGGGAGGATGGGGCGGGGAGAGCAAGAAGGAAGGGGAGGAGAGAGAGGGATGAGGGAGAGATAGAGAGAGAGATGGAGACAGGGAGAGAGGGAAAGGGGAAAGAGATGGAGGGAGGGAGAAGGAGAAGAGAAGGAGAGAGAAAGAGACAGGGAGACACAGAGAAACAGAGATGGGGGAAGGAGAGGGAGAGAGACACACACACAGAGATGGAGAATGAGACAGAGAGAGTGAGGGAGGAGGGAGAGGGAGAAGAGAGAGACAGAGAGGGAGGGAGGGGGGAAGGAAAGGAGGAGAGAGGGAGAGATGGGGGAGGGAAAGGGAGGAAAGAGGAAGAGATGACGGGAGAGAGGGAGAGAGAGAAAGAGAGACAGAGAGGTGAGAGGGAAGGGGAGAGGGAGAAGAGAGAGAAAGAGTTTTAGAGAGAGAGACAGAGAAGTAGAGGATTTGGGAGGGGTTGGAGAAAAAGGTGAAAAGACAGGATTGTGGGGAGGAGGGGGAGAAGAGAGGGGAGCAAGGACTTGGGGAGCAGCTAAGCAAAAAGATAATAGCAGGGAGCCAGCTGGGGTGACAGAGCAGAAGGGCTGGCTTTCACAGAGCCTGGGAGCCAGAGGAGCTGGGGCTGAGCTCTGAGAAAGTTGCCCTGAAGCCCACAGGCTCCTGACAGAGATGACAACTCACATCCAATTTCAGCTCCCCTGGGAAGGTGGCCACCAGCGGCCTGGATTCCAGTGGTTTACCTTAAGAGCCAAGGTCCTGCCATGGAAGGTTGAGTTCAGAGCAGAGATTCACAAACCAGCTGCCTTGCTGCTACTGCTGCGGCCACCACGGCAGTTAGTACTGTTGATGTCCAGGACTCAGGAAGCCCCCATTTGCCCTGGCAGTGTCTCTTGTGTTCAGCCACAGCTTCAACTAAAATTGGCAGGAAAGCCTTGAGGGAGCATCCTGGCTGCCATAGCACGGCCCCTGGACTCGTGCCTGATATAGCTGCAGCCACATCTGGAAGGTGGAAAACATTATAAACAGCAGTATTCACAGGTTGGCTTTTCCAATTTGTTGCAAATTTTATCTTCACACAATCTCTTAGATTTTTGAACATCAGGTTCTTTACTTAGGGTCCGTGGACTCCCAGGGGGACTATGGATAGATTTGAATAGCTCTGTGAACTCAGATGGGAAAATAAAAATCACATTTTTATTTTCACTAAATTCTAACTGAATTTTAGCATTTCTCCAATTTGAAATATTTTTAAATTCAATTTTAGTATACTTTCAGTTGCAAATTCTATCTTTCCCATCTCTTCTCCTTTACCCATTGAGAAAGCAAGAAGAAAAAAAAGACTCATTACAAATATGTATAGCCAAGCAAAAACAAATTCCTGCATTAGCGATGTCCAGAAAAAAATATGCTTCAATGTGCACTCTAAGTCTTTTACCTGCTATCTCGAAGTCAAGAACATGTTTAATCTGAATATATATTTTTTTTAAAAAACAGGATTCTGAGATGAGGGCCACAGGCTTCCCTGGACTGGCAAAGATCTATGACACAAGAAAGGTTAAGAAGTGCTGTTTTTGACCACTTTGCAGAACCACAGCGGTCCCTGGGACAGTTTGAGAAACGCTGATCTAGGCTGGCTTCCTCCTTTTTCAGAGGAAAAAACTGATGCCCAGTCAGCGCCTCTTGCTGGGCCTTTGGCTTTGTTTAGAAGCATCCCCATAACCACTGACAGGCCCCCTGGGAGCCTATGAGGCATCCGTCTCAAAATTCTTTGTACAATCCCAGAGCACAGAGATTGTCAGAATTCGATGAAGTAGGACAATTCAGCTCTGCTTTTCTTTCTTTTTTAAAAAAATATTAATTTATTTTTAGTTTTCAACATTCACTTCCATAAGCTTTTGAGTTTTAAATTTTCTCTCCCTCTCTCCTCACTGTCCTCCCCAATCTGACATAGGCTGTACATATACATTCCTATTAAACACGTTTTCACATTAGTCATGTTGTAAAGAAGAATTAGAAGCAATAGGAGGAACCACAAGAAAGAAGAAACAAAACAAAGTAGAAGAAGAAAAAAGCAAATAGTATGGTTCGATCTTCAGCTCTGCTTTTCAAGGCAGGGTCTGAAGGCTCAGTCTGCCACAAACACATATTTGGCTGGCTTTCTAGAAATAAATAGGACAGGAGGGAGTGAAATAAATGCTATGCACGTCTTGGTCTGGCTGCCCTTGGAGTACCACTTGAATCGATGCTTAAAATCCATGGGCATGCCTATAGTTTCTGAATGGAATGTCCCAGTGAAGACTCCTCAGTGTAATTAAGGTTTGGGATAAGGCTGAGTGGGATAAGGGGTCCCATAAAGACTTCTCAAAAGAATAAATAGAAATTGTATTAGACTCAAGGCAGGTGTAGTAGCCTGACAGGCTTAAGTTTTAGTTTCTTAGAAATCACCTGAGTTACGGGAGTCTAGCCCCAAGTACCCCCCCTTTTCTATGCCCTTGTTATCTCAGCAGTTAAAGTTTGCCAAGCCTGAAACTCCCGAACCCCCCCCCCAATATTTTGCTGTACCTGTTGCTGTATTCTGGTCATGGTGACCTAACTATACAGTACAACGTATCTCAGTAGTTAAAGTTTTGAACCCCCCCCCCCTTTGTATCATGTTGTTACACCTGTTGCTATATTCTGGTTACAGTGGTAACCTTGCCACAACACCACAGTGTCTAGCTTTACTACACATCTTTAATTGCTTTTTGGTAATGTTTCAACAAACTAAGGGCTAAATATGGATATTGGTAACTTGTAACTAAGATGTGCATACTGTTTGTTGTTGTTTATTCCTATGGTAGAGTTTCATGTTGAGATTGTGAGCCAAAACACTGGCCATTTGGTGGGAGGGGGGCTTTACCCATTAGGGCTATTTAATCCAGTCCTTTGCTCCTGTACTCTCTCTCCTTTCAACAGAGCATTCTGGAGGAGGGACACCCGAATCTCGAGATTTGAAATAATAAAAATTAACTTTCTGTTTCTCCTTGGATACCTCTGTGTTTTTTAATTTGAGTGGCATCCCACACATTTCTGTGTGCTTCATGACCTTCCTCAGGGACAGTCATTTTGACTGGGTGTTGCTAACCATTGAGCCCACTGAGTTTTTTTTCCCCTGAGGCAATGGGGTTAAGTGACTTGCCCAGGGTTACAGCTAGTAAGTTTCAAGTGTCTGAAGCTGGATTTGAACTCAGGTCCTACCTGACTCCAGGGCCAGTGCTCCATCCACTGCACCTGCTAGCAGGCTCTAGAACTGACTGACTGTTAACAGACAGTTATTGGGCTATTTCAGGATATACACTTGGTTTATTGTAGAAGATTTCTGTTTCTGTTATAGACCAGGCAGCTCTTATGAAAAAGCCTTTCCTCCTTGCGGTCCTCATTGGCCCACAGTTTCTTGCAGTATCCTCTGAGGGTCTGTCTGGGGGCAGTGCCTTTGGGGACCATCTTCAGGCTAAAGGAAATTGGGGTGTGTTTTAACTGGATTTTTACCTTTTTTTAAATTTTAAATTTAGTTATTATCAACAAAACCCATGCAGTTAAATAACACACAAAAAGAAAATCATCTGTAAGGTTAAAAAAAGTCCAAGGCAGCAGCTTTTTGTCAAAGATATTTACTACAAGTTTTCCTTTCCCCAATCTGTTTGTTCTCTTTATATCTTGGACACACTACTTTTTCTGTTTTGCAAACCTCCTCTGTTTTTATGTTGTCAAGTCCATTGATTTTCTTTCCCGTAATTTCTGCAATTTGTAATTCACTGGGTTGTCTTTCAGGAAACTAACGGCCAAACCCACCCGGGACAGGGGGTCTTACATTTGATAGAAAGGAATTTCCTCCTCTCTACAGTTTAGAGAAATCCATCCTTGGTTCCCCCCACCCACCCCCAATTTAGTGGAACATTGTTCAAGTGACAGCAAAATGAAGGAGAAACAATTTCTAGAATAGAATTAAACTTGGGGGCGGGGGACAGCTAAGGGTTTGGAACAAACTGGAAAGAATGAACCTAAGTTCTTTTCAGTTGTGTCTTAAAGAGGGGTTGGTGAAAAGAGGGGAGGGGTAGGAGGAAGACTCTTCCCTTTCAGAGTCTAACGAAGTTCATTCTGTTCCTGATGACTGGAATGCCCTTCCCTTCCTCTTCAGTGGAATTCCCTGGAAGGGAGGGAGGAGAGCATTTTCAAATATTTGAAGGGTTGTCAGGTGGAGGATGTAGGGAGTAATTGTGTTTGGCCCCAAGGAGCAGAATCAGCATCAAAGGGTGAAGCTGCAAAGAAGCAAAGGAGCCTGTGAATACTTCCTAATATTCTGTGCTGGCCTGAAATGGAGCTGGCTGCCTAGAAAGATGGCGAGAGGCTAGACTGGTGGGTATATTAGAGGGGGGATTCCTTTTGTGTGTAAATTGGATTGGAAGGACTGTTAAGGTGCCTTTTAATTCTCAAATTCAGTGACACTTCGAAATTATTTATTTATTTATTTTGGGGAGGTAAATCAGAGTTAAGTGACTTGCCCAGTCAAATATCTGAATCTGGATTTGAACCCAGGTCCTCCTACTCTAGGGCCAGTGCTCCATTCACTGTGCCACCTAGCTATCCCAATACCTAGCCTTTAGAGCCCAACTCAAATGCCATGTTCTCCATGAAGCTTTCCTTGTGATAATCACTTGGAATTCATGTGTGACTTTGGGCTCTTTTAATACCTTTATGTATTATTTTATATTTTAGTTATTTGCCTATGTATCCTGAATGGGATCTCCCAGTGAAGACTCCTCGGTGTAATTAAGGTTTGGGATAAGGCTGAGTGGGATGAGGGTCCCGTGAAAACTTCTTAGAAGAATAAATAGAAATTGTATTAGACCCAAGGCAGGCATAGCAGCCTGAAAGGCCTAAGTTTTGGTTTACTAGAAATCACCTGAGTTATGGGAGTCCAGTCCCAAGTACCCCCCCCCTTTTAGGCCATTGTTATATCAGTAGTTAGTTTGCCGAGCCTGAAACTCCTGAAGAAGCCCCCTGTATCTTGTTGCACCTGTTGCTATATTTCAGTCATGGTGACCTGGCTATACAGTACAATGTCTAGCTTGATTCTCAAAATGATATAATTCCAGAGGAAGCACACCTTCACCAAGACCACAGCAGAGCAGGCTGCAGCAGTCCCCTAGCCCTTTGAGGTGGTCTTCCCAGAGGTCCATATAAGTAGGGAAGTGCCAGGCTAGAAGTCAGAATGCCTGGGTTCTATTAGGGGCTCCTCCACTAACTAAGTGCTGGGGATACAAAAAAGGACAAAGACAGTCTCTGCCCTCAAGGAGCTTACAATCTAGTTGGTGACACAAGCTATATACAGGAGAAATAGGAAATAATTAAGAGGGGGTTAGGAACGGTTTCCTGTAAAGATGAGATTTTAGTTGAGACTTAAAGGAAGCCAAGGAAGCCAGTAGATGGAGTTAGGGAGGGAGAGTGCTCCAGGCACGGAGAATGGCCAGAGAAAATGCCCAGCGCTGAGAGATGGAGTGCCTTGTTCAGAGAACAGCCAGGAGGTCAGCGTCACTGGATCAACCAGAGAGTGGGGGAGGTGTGGGGGGGCAGTAAGGTATAATAAGACTAGAAGGGGACCAGGTTGTCAAAGGCTTTTAACATCAAACAATTTTTTACTTTATCCTAGAGGCAATAGGAAGCCACTGAAGTTTACGAAGTAGGGTAGTGACATGATTGGATAGGTGCTTTAAGGAAAATCACTTTAGTGGCTGAGTGGAGGAGGGACTGGAGTGGGGAGAGCCTTGAGGCAGACAGATCCACCAGCAGCTATTTCAATAGTCCAGGCATGAGGTGATGGGGGCTTGTGCCGGGGTGGGGCAGTGTTAGAGGAGGGAAGGGAGAATATTCAAAAGACATTGCAAAGATAAAATCAATAGGCCTTGGACTTGGGGGGGAATGAGAGTGAGAAGCTGAGGATGACACCTACATTGTGAGCCTCAGGGACTGGGAAAGGGTGCTGCTCTCTACCTTAATGGAGAAGGTAAATGGAGGAGGTGGGTTAAAGGGGAAAGATAGTGAGTTCCATTTTAGATGTGTTGATAAGATCACCAAGTGAAGCAACATAGAAGAGAAAAGGGGCCAGATCAAAGGCCTGTGGGAAACCGACTATTAGAGGGCATGATCTGGGTGAGTATCCAGCAAGGAGACTGAGAAGGACTGCAGAAAGGTAGGAGGAGAACCAGGAGAGAGGGGTGTCCTAAAAACCTAGTGAGAAGAATGTCAGGTCGGAGAGAGGGATCAACAGTGTCAAAGGCTACAGAGAGGTCAAGGAGAATGAGGATAAACAAAAGACCATTGGATTTGGCAACCAAGAGATCCTCAGTAACTTTGGAGAGGGGAGTTTGGGTGGAATAATAAGGTCAGAAGCCAGATTGAAAGTGGTTGAGAGTGAGAGGAGAGAAAGTGGAGGCACCTGTTGTAGACTGCCTTTGGAGGTCAGCTACAAAGGGCAGAAGAGGTCAAGGACAATAGTTATCAGGGATGAAAGGATTAAGTGAAAGTTAAAGGATAAGATAAACCCTGAGTAGAAGCACGGAATTATTGGTAGGATTGTTTAGGCACGGGGAAAATCTGGAGCCCCAAAACTCTTCCTAGTAGATTACAAGCAGGGATGACAGGACATTTAACCCTTGAGTTTCCAACATGCAGCGCCTAGTGAGCGCTTAATAAATGTTTCTGAAATTTAACGGAATTGACATCTGCTTAAAAGGAGTGAGTTTCCGGGGGACATGGGACACCATGACAAAGAATTTGGATTTTTTTTTTTGATAGGCTTTGGGAAACCCCTGTCTTTGGGCAAACGCAGTGGCAGCTGAGGTGAGTCTTGAAGACCAGGTGAGGATTCTGAGAGACAGAGAGAAGGAAGGTGTGCATTCCAGGTAGGGCAGATGGGTTTGGGAGATGGGAGGTTGAATTCAGAGCCAGGACTCTAGCCACTGCACCGCTTAGCTGATCAGCTTGTCTGGAACGTCGGAGTGCCTGGAGAGTAACAAGAAAGGAAGTTGAAAAGAGAAGCTGGAGCCAGATTGTGGAAAGCCTTAAATGATAAGCTGAGGAATTTGTATTTTATCCTGAAGAGAATAAGAAGCCACAGAAAGGTTTGGGGCAGAATAGAGCAATAGGAAGATTACTCTGGCAGGTATGTGGAGGATGGGCTTGTGAAAGGCAAGACTGGAACCAGGGAGATCAGTTAAGAAGATATTCCAGTAAACAAGGTGAGAAGGGATAAATGCCTGACCTAGGGTAATGGCTGTGTGAATGGAGGGAAGGAGACAGAGGAAAATGGTGTTATAAGTTAAAAATGGCAAAACCTGGAAATGGAAATGGTAGATAGAGCACTAGGCTTGAAGTCAAGGAAGACACGGGTACAAATCCAGCCCCAGACACCCACTGTGTGACCCTGGGCAAGTCACTTAACCTCTGTTTACCTCTATTTCCTCATCTGTAAAATGAAGATAATAATACTACCTACTTCAAAGGGTGTTGTAAGGATCAAATGAGATAATAATTGTAGGATGCTTAGCAAGTAAGTGCTTGGTAAGTGCTGTTGGCTATGATTATTATTATTTTAGGATGTGGGGCTATTATTATTATTATTATTATATGTGGGGGCAAGACAGAAAAGTCACAGAGCCAGAAGTAGAACTGGTGGTGAAGTGAGCGTGGATGTCCCAGATACCTCTTAAAATGGAGTGCAGGCATCTCCTGGGTGGGAAGGCTCCTGGGAGGAGTTGGAAAAGTCTGAAGAATCAGCAGAGGAGCTGGCAGTGAAGTGGACATTTTTAGCAGACAGGTGATGATTTGGGACTGAAGTTCCAAAGAAAGATTAAGGCTAGATGGAAATATTTGAGAGTTACCTGTATAAGGATGGTAAAGAATTTTTGAGGATGTGGAAACCTGTGTACATTCTCCCAAAATGCTAAATGTCTTGAGAATCAAAAATGACCATGATCCTGGAAGAATGAGGTAACCGGAAGAGCAAAGTATGCCTGATGGGGAAAAAAAAACCAACCAAGCTGTAGCATGCTATCAAGGATGACTTTGGCACCAGAAGTGGCAAAAGATACGATACTAAAAATACACGTGACTGAAAAGGCAGTAAGTGGACCATGACCTTCCCTAATCCCTGAATGTACTACCTGCTTACCTTCATTTCAGGCAATCCCTCTCTCCCTTCAAGACTCAACCAAATTTGGAAAGTGATTAGCACAGAGAACAGCACATAATAGGTGCTTTAAAATGCTTGTTGCCTTCCCCCATCCCCATCATCCCAACTTCTAGTACCTTGCCTTTTATAAATTTACCTTGAATTTATTCTCTTTATATTTATTCAGTATATTCTTAGGCAGGTATTTGTCTTCTCTGTTAGCATAGAAGGTCCTTGAGAGTAGCAATGATTTTATTCTTTGTATTAGAAACAAGTACCTATTCACCAACACCTAACCCTATGTTTACCATCATCAGTACCATTTTTATAGCACTTCAAGGTTTGAAAAACACTTTACAAATATAATCTCATATGATTTTATTACATAGTAGGCACTTAAAATATTTGTTAACTATTAAGAATGATTGATTAATAACTAATTCTTCATAAATATTTATTGATTCATTTGAATCCAGCTGCTTTTCTAACTTTATTAACCATTTTTCCCCTTCCCTCTACAATTCTGTCAAAATCAATCTGTGCACATACCTTTTTTTAAAGTTTTTATTGATGTCTGGGTTTTTTTACATAATCAGTTTCCTCCAGTATTCCTCCCTCCTTCCCTCCCAGATAATCATCCCTTATAACAAATGTTATTTTTATAAAGACAAAAAAGAGGAAAAATCAGCACAACTTACCAAACCATTGGGAAAGTCCAAAAACATGTATAGTTGCACTGTACCTAAGAGCATTCTGTGCCTTTGCATTGACTGTACAGTATACTGGGCATGCACTCCTTCCTCATTTCCATCTCTTAGAATCCCTAGTTTCCTTCAAAACCTAGGTCAAACACCTTTCTAGATTCCCTAGACACTAGTGTCCTTCCCCTGGGCTCTTTTGTATTTACCTTTCATGTACTTACATGCATGTATCATTTGCCCCAATAAAAGACACCATCCTTGAAAGCACAGATTGTTTCACCAACGTGCCTGGCACATAGTAGGCACTTAATAAAAGCTTGTCGATCAATCGATTGATTTTTTTAGGATGCCATTCCGCAGCGCTCTGAGGCATCCTTGAGCCTGCGATGGCAGTTAGCCGCCTGCCTGGCCGCCTGCCTGCCGGCTGCGGCCCTCGGTGAAGAGTTGCTTCCTCTGTGTGTTGGAACGGTCCCATCCTTCCCCACCCCCTCACCCCCACCTGCTAGAGCAGGGCTGCAAAGCCAGTTTGTTCCAGTTTACTTTAATAAAGTCGGTTCCTGTTTTCCTTAGCAACTGGCAGCCCAGACGGCTTAGCCACGGTCCTGGGAACTACAGAGAGGGAGATGATGGACGTTGAGCTGAAAGGTGTAGGGAGCAGAGTTTTAAGAGTACTGATGCAGCCCTTGGAGGCCTGGGGAAGAGAGCCAGCCCCTCCTGCCTGGATGCTGAGAGGCCAGAGGATTCGTGGAGACGAGTCTTCTTGGGGCAGACAGAAGCCAGGACGCTATCTACCTCCCCCTCCCCCACCCAGGCTCCCCCCGGCCCATAAAGCCGCTCTCCTGGATAGCTCTGGCTCAACGCAGGCCACTTGTCAGCAGTTAGGAATGAGGAGTGAAGCTGTTCATGACAACGCTGTGGAATTTACGTTTGGGTTTAATTCGTCCTAAATGGGCAATTTCCCGCTTCTCCCTTGGACCTAACAGGTTGTTAACTGATGCCTATGGAGAGCCCTATAAAGGAGAATGGATGTAGAATGTCAATTAGGAGGCTCCCAGGGAGGAGGAATTCAGCCAGGATTGCTCATAAACAGCTGGGTGGCTTAGTGGATAATCAGTCAGTCAGTCAATCAATGGGTAAGTGCCTGCTACGTACCAGGCACTGTGCTAAGCACTTGGGGACACAAAGAGAGGCGAAAGAAAGTCCCTGCCCTTGAGGAAGTAGAGCTGTGTTCAAATCCTTCCTGAGACACTCACTAGCTGCCTAACCTGGGACAAGTCACTTAGCCTCTCTCTGCCTTAGTTTTTCAATCTGTAAAATGGAGATAATTATAGCACTCACCCTAGAGGATTGTTGTGAGGATAAAATGAGATAAGGAATGTACTTCTAAAATTTTGAAGTGATATATAAATGCTAGCTCTTGTTTCATATATATATATGTATATATATGTGTGTGTGTGTGTGTGTGTGTGTGTGTGTGTGTATATATTTGCTTTTTTTGGTGAGGCAATCAGGGTTAAGTGACTTGCCCAGAATCACACAACTAGTGGGTGTCAAGTGTCTCAGGCTGGATTTGAACTCAGGTCCTCCTGACTCCAAGGTTAGAGCTCTATTTACTGTGCCACCTAGCTTCCTTTCTTGTTGTATTTTTAAATGATTATTTCTTAGGAAACAAGGCTCCTAAGACCAGGCAAGAGTCACCTGAGCCATAGATTCCTACAAGTTATGAGCTGAAACCCACCTTACTCCCTTACCCCCATTTTACATGTGGGGAGGCTACACACAGGTAGCAAGTAGCAGAGCTGAGTTTCAAAATGTACATCTCCATCTCCTGACTCAGACCAGTGTTCTTTCAAAAGAATCACAGAGTTTGAGTAAGAAATACCTCGGATCTTCCAGTCCAACCCATGCCCATGGGGAACAACCGTGCCTGACAAGTGGTGATGCAGTCTCACTCGAAGATTTACCAGGATGGTGACCTCACCCTCCTCTCTTTGAGGCAGCCTGACATCTTGTCTGCAATTGCCCTTAATCCTTTTTTTGCCCTCTGGAATCAAGGAGAACAAGTCTTATCCCTCTAGCCTTTCTGACAACAAAAAGAAGCCCAGGACAACTAAAAAAAAAAAACTAAACTAAACAGATAGGTAAACTGAGTCATCTTATCAGAGCAGGACCCGAATCAATGGCCCAGAGCCCCTTTTTCAACCAGGGGGAGTTTGAATATTAGCTAACCTCAGGAGTCTTCCTCCCCCCCTTTAGCACCAATCAGCACCAGTCTTCAGGTCCAAGCTCTTTCACTCCCTTCTCCCGATATCTGGCCCTGCTAGATCTAGATAAGAACACTATAAAAACTGACCAGACTTTACTTGTCTTGGAGGAGAGGTTACTCCATTCCCTCTGGGGCTCCAGCCAGGTGCCAGTTTCCATCTGGGGGCACACAGGACCTGTTTCCCTCCTCCAAATATTTTTGAGTATTGCCCACTCAATATAGCTTCCTTGCTTTATACACTTGTGAACTGTTTCCTTGTACTGGACTTTGATATTCCACAAACCTTTGTGAGTCTGTATTAAGACAGGGCCCTTTACCCAATTGATAAATGGTCAAAGGATATGAGTAGGCAGTTTTCAGATGAAGAAATTAAAGCCATCTATAGTCATATGAAAAAATGCTCTAAATCACTATTGATTAGAGAAATGCAAATCAAAACAACTCTGAGGTACACCTATCAGATTGGCCAACATGACAAAACAGGAAAATGATAAATATTGGAGAAGATGTAGGAAAATTGGAATGCGTTGTTGGTGGAGTTGTGAAATGATCCAACTATTTTGAAGAGCAATTTGGAACTATGCCCAAAGGGCTATAAAAATGTGCATACCCTCTGACCCAGCAATAGCACTTCTAGGGCTGTATTCCAAAGAGATCATAAAAACAGGAAAAGGACCCAGATGTGCAAAAATATTTGTAGCAGCTCTTTTTGTGGTGCAAAGAATTGGAAATTGAGGGGATGCCCATCAATTGGGGAATGGCTGAACAAGTCTGGGTATATGAGTGTAATGGAATACTATTGTGCTATAAGAAACAATGAACAGGAGAGTTCAGAAAAACCTGGAAAGACTTGTATGGACTGATGCTGAGTGAAGTGAGCAGAACCAGGACAACATTGTACACAGTAATAGCCACAAAGCGCTATTACTAACTTTGATAGATTTAGTCCTTCTTAGCAATGCAAGGATCTAAGACATCTCCAAAGGCCTGATGGAAAATGCTATCCACATCCAAAGAACTATGGAGTTGGAATGCAGATTGAAGCATACTATTTGCTATTTTTTTCTTCTGTTTTGTTTTGTTTCCTCTATCTGGTGGTTCCTCCTATTAGTTCTAATTCTTCTTTACAATATGACTAATGTGAAAATATGTTTAATAGGAATGTATATGTATAGCCTATATCAGATTTCAAGCCATCTTAGGGAGGTAGGTAGGGAGGGAGGGGGAGAAAAATTTAAAACTCAAAAACTTATAGAAGCAATTGTTGATAAATCAAAATAAATTAATAAAAAAATTAATAAAAAAAAGTTCCCATTAGGCATTTGAAGTCAGCCATCCTGTCTCTCCCTAACCTTCTACATCACCAGGCTAAATATCTTTAGCTCTTTTAATTAATCAATTGATGGCACAGTTTACCTTCATGATCCTTTACCTTTGGACTTGTTCCACAGTCAATGTCCTTAAAATGCTGCCCCCAGACATGAGCACAGTTCTCTAAGTAGTAATTTTTTTTTCCCAATTACACTTAAAGACAATTTTTAACATTCATTTTAAAAAACATTTGAGTGCCAAAGATTTTTCCTCCTTTCTCTCTCCCCTCCCTAAAAGGTAATCATTTTAATAGATTATGTATGAGGAATACAGTTCTTTAGATATGGCCTAATGAGGGCAGAGGACACACAACCTCCCTTAATACAGATTGAAGATTGCAAAAGCATTCATTTCTCATGACATACTCTTTTTTAAAAAATATATTTATTCACTTATTTATTTTTAGTTTTCAACATTCACTTATATAAAATTTTGAGTTCTAAATTTTCCCCCTCCCTGAGATGGCATACAATCTGATATAGGCTATACTTGTACAATTATATTAACATATTTCATTAGTCATGTTGTGAAAGAAGAATCAGAACAAAAGAGAAAAACCATGAGAAAGAAAAAAACAAGAGAAAGAGAGAGAATAGTATGCATTCAGACTCCATAGTTCTTTCTCTGAGTGTGGATAACATTTTCCAACATGAGTCTTTTGGGATTGTTCAGATGTACTCTTAAGGACACTTAGGTGGCTCACTGGATTTGGAGTTAGGAAAACCTAAGTTCAAATCTTGCCTCAGATATTTCTATGTGACAATCATCAAGTCTCCCAGTCTCTGTTTCTTCATATATAAAACGGGAAGGCTGAATTCAAAGACCTCATATTGAAAAAGTTGGATTCAAAGGTCTCTATGGGTTTTTTTTTTTTGGTAGACTAGATCTGTGCTCTCATGAGTTTATGTTGCATTATTTGGAACTTGAAGTCTCCTGAATTCACCATCTTTTTAACATAAACTACATGTTGCCTAGCCATGCTTCACTTCCTCCTTTATTTTTGTGGTTAATTTTTTGAGCCTGTATATTCTATATTTATCCCTGTTAGACTTCTTATTATTGTATGTGGTCCATCATGCTACTCAGTCAAGATCTTTCTGGATCCTTTATCCTATGTGGTAACTATGCCTCCTAGATTTCATAAGTGTGCCATCTAAGCCTTCAATCCAAGTCACTGATGAAAGTGCAGGAAAACAGATCTCTGGAGTAGTTCAATAGAGAATCACAGAATCTCAGAATCAGAAAAGGTGTTGGAGGCCTAGGTCTACCCACATCTAATCAAGAATCTTCTAACCAACATATTAAAAAAGTGGTCATACAGCCTTGGCTTGAAAACCTCCAGTGGGGGTGAAGCCACTACTGCTGAGGTACTGCCTTCCTCTCTGACATAGGACTAAGAGTTGGGAATTTTTTTCTCTATTTCAGCTTCAATTTGCCTTTCTGTTGATGAGGATGGGATCTAGACCCCAAAAAGGAAAAACCCTGGACTTTCCCACAAGGCCAAATCTCTGGTGGTCCCCTGACACTATAATCCCATCAACTGGCCTTTCATTGTGGATATGCCCAATCTCCCAGTTCTTAACCTAGCCTGGCCCTCCAAGGTTTTACCTCCCTATGGCCCCAGGCCATTTCCCACCATTAATCCTATCTAGGCTCTATTCTCCCTTGGCCATGAGGTCCAGGTCCTGGGAGTTCTATTACTTCATAGACTACTTGGCCATTCCTAGATCCCTCCATCTTGTCTCCACTAAGATGCTCAGATTCTTAGAATCTAGCCAGTAGCT